ATATAATGTCATTAAATAACTAATTATACAATTTCATCATGTAATTAATTATATAATTTCAGATTAGAATTGTCAATAAAAGTGCAATACTCGAAGAAAGATTGCAATCAACAATGTTCAGCAAACTGAAAAAGGGTGATGATCGACGTCCATCTGTGACATATTATGTCATTACATGTTAGGTAATTGATATTTTCAATAGTAAAATTCTCGATTCATATTGATACATCGCGTATCTAAATACACAATGTACGTAAAGTTTCTTCCGGAATCGGTAAAGCCTAAGAGGCTAGTCACCCGAGCCCTAACGAGAACAAAAGAAACTATCGTTAATAGTGTTACGCGAAAAAAAAACTTGAGTTACACGTTAACTTGGAAGACACGAAGGAATCGAATCGTGTCATGTACAGACTACGATAATAATAATTCACAAATGTATGTATATTATATCACGATTTGATTGTCAATCGAATCGTTTCATGCTATGTTGCAAAAACAAGATACCAATTAGCGATCGTTCGTATAACAAGTAACAAATATAAATATGCATATGCACGTTTTCAATTTTCATACGCGTGTCTTAATCCCGAGACCAAGATATCAATGACTCGTCCCTTGCTGAGAAATATCCCGATGGAAGTATGCGTGCGTTTATCGTTATTATTATCGTTAGACTTAAATTACATTTATTTATTTATTTATTTATTATTCTTCGGTCGGCTAGGTCGTCTATACAAACGGCGAGGAGTTATTAACATTACGATATACGACGAAGTACGTTAATACCGATATCTCTTCGGATCTCTAACTATACTCATTTTTAACGACGCGATCAATCCCTATATTTATTCTTTTTCTTTTCCAAAATCGCCACGAATATTCAGGAAAAAAAAAATAAAATAAAAACAAGCACATCGCGATTTTTATTCGTTTCAAATTCAAGAGTGTGATCCACTTAACAATGCAATGCCTAATGCAATTCGAAGAATTTTACGAATTAACCAATGCTTTGAAGCATTTGCAGCGTTAAGTGGACCTGAATATAATTTTCGAAATACCTTAAAAACATGATAATTTACTTAGAAGAGACCCAATGCTAAAAACTAATTAACGTACAACGTCGCAGCAATTAATTGAGCTTGCACTCGTACAAGGGAATCTCGATTCACTGATGTCTTTAGCAAAAAAACACACGCACGCACGCACGCACGCACGCACGCACGCACGCACGCACGCACGCACGCACGCACGCACGCACGCACGCACGCACGCACGCACGCACGCACGCACGCACGCACACATACACGCACATGCGGATGCACACGCATACTTTTTCTCTTTCTCCCTTCTATTATTCTTCTTTGAAGAGAATTATAGCAAAATTTTATACATTAACCACCGACGATAAATATCACACAACGAGACAAAGTTGTAACTCGTTACTCAACTCTCGCAGAATTTATTTGTTAGGGAGCCCCGCACACCTTAGCATACACGCGTCCAAAAGTCTAGCTACATCACAGGCGACGTGTCTAGCTATTCGCTCTTCTACCTTACTAACTATGTCCAATATTAGCAATACTCTCCTTATTTATCTCAAATGAACATTTTGTCGCGCGCGCTGTTCATCGACAATCCGAAATTGAAGAGGGAAAAGTGAGAGTTGGAGATATCAGTGGCAAAAATATTAAAAAGGTATCAACAACGCAAAATTGCCGCATACGTACGTCACTTGCGCAGCACAACGGATGCGGGGCTCGGTTGAGTGTCGGGGAGAGGCCGCGAGGAAAAGTTTGGAGATATACCTGGTTCAACGTCGCGCATATGTATGTATGTATATATGTATGTATGTATGTAGGTAGGTATGTATGTATGTATGTATGTATGTATGTATGTATGTATGTATGTATGTATGTATATTCGAAGCCAAAATCGTGATGAAATTCGACCAAATTCTAGCACTACGACGTTCAGTGGTACTATGGTGCCATCGTAAAAGCATCATTACGTGAGACTTGGCGTCTCAATATATATTCCATGACAGAAAAGAAAATTATAATAACGTCTTTAGCCGTTCGAACAAATCAACTGTGTGCAGAAACACAGAAAGGAGAGAGAAAAAACCGCCAGCATACCATATTCTTTTTTTTCTTTTTTTCTATTTAAAAAATTCGATTTAAATGAAATTGCATTAATCGTGGAAACGATTAGTTATATCGTCGAAAACTCGAATGTAAATGTTGAAATAGGTATATGTCGGAAACGATTTTCGCGATAACCCCGAGACAACTATATCGTAGTACGTAACAATTAGCCGGTGAATGATCAGTTTCATTGCGTAGGGTACTGATGTGGCATGGTATATGTTACCATAGTGGGCTGTTGACCCGGAGGCAAGGGTGCACTCGCTGTCGGCGGTGCTGCGGTGGCTTGCGTCGGTTGCCAGGCTCCTGCACCTGGAGTGGGCATCCTCATGCTGTTCATATACTGAGCCTGTTGCCCATAATATTGACCATAGTATTGTGCAGGTTGCAAAAACTGTCCCTGCATCTGCGGATAGCCCTGTGGATACCAATAGCTCATCTGTTGGCCATAACCATATGCGTATTGTCCCGCTCCTGCTGTCACCTGTTTCACAAAAACAACAACTTAAACTGTTATATCTATGTTTCGAAATAAAATTCCATTATTAAATTATATACACAAATGATGTAAAACATGTATATAAATTATTAGCCAATACGAGATGAAGTAATGAAATAATAGACTCTGTGTGTGTGTGTGTGAATGTAAACAATTACCTGTTGAGCTTGATGATTCGCATTAGGACCCACACTGTTTGGATCACCGTTTTCTTTACCCCAAAAACATTTAACGATGCTGCCATTGATCTCTGTATTATGCGTCGATTCAATGGCATGTGTCGCAGCTTCCTTAGTTGTAAACTTGATAAAGGCATATCCCTTGTCTTTGAATACTCTTATGTCTTGAATGGTACCAAAAGGAGAAAAGGTTTTCTTTATCAGCTCATCCGTGATACCGTTCGTAAAACCTCCACAATATACGGTACAATTAGTCGGACTACTTTGGTTATACACCTGTTAAGAAGAAAAGGACTAAGATTGAAACGTTTCGAATTTGGCACGGAGAAATGAGCGAGCGAGAGAGAGAGAGAGAGAGAGAGAGAGAGAGAGAGAGAGAGAGATAAATGGATTCTCTTGCTTTTTCGCAATCATCGAGCGTGACCCAACAGAGAACATAGAGAACCTAGAGTGACATAGAGATTAAAAAGGAAAGAAAGAAGTACCTCTTCGTAGTTGGGTTTACTATTATTGGAATGCCGTGGCCTCTCGGACCTCGGTGGCGGCGGTTTCCTAGTGGACCAGTTGGTCCTAATGCTGCGTGAACCCAGCCACTGACCGTTCATCGCGTTGATCGCCGCTTCGGCCTCAGATTTTTTAACAAACGACACGAACGCGTAGCCCTTGCTCTTGAGCGTCTGCGGATCGCGAACGATCCTGCAGTTACTGATCTCGCCAAAAGGCGCAAACGCCTCCTTGAGCGTCTGCGTCTCGATCTCCGGAGAGAGATCACCGACGAAAATGTGATGGTGGTTGCTGGTGTCGAGTTTCGGCTGATTGCCTGGACTGGTCGCCCAGTTAACCTTCATCTCCTTGTCGAGGAACGAGCGCTTGTTCATGGCGGCCAGCGCCGTGGCCGCGCACTGATGGTTCGTAAATTCGACGAAGGCATACGGATCGTTGCCGGGCTCGCGGATTATCTTGCATCCCTTCACGGCGCCGATTTGCGAAAAGAGCGCACACAAAAGGTCCTCAGATACCGAGGTGTCCAGGTTGCCCACGTACAGCGTACGTGGATTACTTTCCTCGCTCATGTTCGCACGCGCTCAGCGCTGCTTGGCGCTGCTACGGACGCACTTTCACTTTTCGCTCGCTCGATCGTTCGATCGTTTGTTCGTTCGTTCGCTCGTTCGTTCGTTCGTTCGTTCGTTCGCTCGCTCGTACGTTCGTACACTTTCCCCTCTCGCTGAAACTATATTTCGCTCTTACCCTCGACGGCCTCCACGCGTTACACGCGTCACACAACTAAACGGCACCACGACGATGACTATCCACGGGAAAGCGATCGCTGCGACAGTGGCAACTTGACGTCACTCGCAGCTGAGCGTTCGCGATCATCAAACATTCGGACACTTACCAGACACCGATCCGTTAGTTTTTTCTTCGCGCAAAACCGACAATAAGAACGCTAAGCTACACCCAGCCTCTACGTCATACTAATACATAAAATGGCCGCCCCGCGCCTCACCGCGCCACGCCACTACGAAACTCGCTTTCCCTTTGACTCGCGCCGCGCCGCGCCACTCCGCGCCGCGCCGCGTCGTGCCGTGCCACTCCACGTCGGGCCGCGAGTGCGATGCACAACTATTCTGAGTGTAAACGCGACAAACACACTCGCTTTTCCGCAAATCTTGACAAATCACCGGTCGCACCGCGATCGAACTTACTCGCGTGTATCGCGTGCGCGCGCGCTGATGTGACTTGAAGATTAAAAATCGGAACTGTACCGACTGTACCGACTGTACCGACTGTGTCGTGAAGTACAGACGCTTCAAATCGCCCAAGAGACACGTGTTTTTGTATCACCCGTCGAGCTGTCGTAATTGTAACAGGTCGTAATCGTATATATAACGCGAAAACTCATGCGATCATGTCATTGGCCTTGCGAAACTCACTAGATATTCACACTTCATGGGTATTTCCAATTTCCAATCTATTCTCCGACGTTTATTATTACAACGGAAATCTTCTCGCTGTGGAAACGATACTTTATGAAGGCTTTGAAGCGGGCCGCGGTACAGACTCTTGCATATCACATAACGCACAGTGCATAAGCGAATCAACTAATCAGAATCTTTCCTTTCCTCCCATTCCGCAGAAAAGAACAATTTCGATTGGTTGATTTCTTCTATGCACTATGCATTATGCGTTAAAGGCCATTTACATGAAACAGCTGTACAATGAAAAGCTGTTATTAGTACCATTGACGCTTCTGATTGGCTGTCGCAAATGCGTCTGTGTTATTTATCATATTGTGGTCCAATCAAAAAAATCTCTTTAAAAGTTTATGGTGACATTCTCATAAAGTTAAAGTAGCTAATATCTGTATTCATAATCCTTCCTTGAGGAATGAGGATTCCTTGTTTCTTATTTCACGTTTCATAAATCTTCTTTGATCAAACAAGGAGCCTTATTAGCTTTTTTTCTGAAGGGAAATTACGAGTTTCCTTGAGGAGGAGGTGCAGTTTTTATAATCAAGCAAATCTCCAAATTTATTTTGTCACACTGGTCTTTTTACTTTCGATAGCTTTTAATTTAGATCTATCGCATCGATAATTATTTTCGATAGCTTTTTTTTCGGAAATAAACTATGCCAAAAGTATTTTCTTCTTCGTATAATAAGCATTATAGCGAATTTGACAGGAAACATTGATGCGTGTTAAAGTTGTATACTGATTTAATTTTAGTATAAAAATAATGCAAATATTTTGAATTACATATTTTACCTAATAGTACAATAAAATATATTGAGTATTTTACAATTTAATCGATTTCCATGTTTATTTATAAACATATATATTTACGTTATTTTGTGTATGTACGACAGTTTTAATGTGCATCAGTGCGCAGTGAGTGCGTTTAATCAAATTCGCTATTAGTTTTATTTTTATCCATTATTGTTGCAAAATACTTAATCACGACTTTATTTAATATTATGACATGCTGCCTTCAGTAGATTATTAAAATTTCTAAAATATTTTTTCCTTCGGGAAGACAGACTTGAGATCTATTTATAAAACAAAGAAGGCTTGGAGAATCGAGGAATCCTTCATAGAGACTTTCTTCGTCCTTAAAATAAGGAAGGACTATGAATACGAGTGTAAAGCTAGTAACACACTTTTCATAAGAGTAATAGTAAGATTTTTGACCAATCGCGTTGCTCTGTCGGTCATTCGTAACCGTAACAATCGAGCAATTCAATTGATCGAAAACTTTACTGTTACTGTTACAGAAAGTGTGTGCGACTGGCTTAAGTTTGTGATATGGACTTATGGATGAACTTATGGACTTACTATTTCAGTGGTGTTACTAATCCGTACAATTAAAATCGTGTTACCTAGGGATTTTTGTAAGCACCAACATTTTCTAGTCTAGTTTATCGGGAAAATGTCATGTAACCATGAGAGGAGTTTTGTGATTCAAACGCCATCTACCGAGCGCCACTAATACCAATTCAGAAACCTGGGAGTCGATTCTGTAATTCGAGTGAGATCACTCACTTTTCGTATTTTCATTTCACGTGAGTTTGTCCCCGCGTAATTCTGTAACGACAAAAAATACAAAATCACTAGATTTGCTGGTGTGAAGTAAACATAGGCCGCGGTCTGATTCACGCTCAAAACATTTAAAAATCATTTTATTCTTGTTGTCAAATGTTAAACAAACGATGCTTATGAGCGTTATCAGCATGAATTGGATTACGGCCATAAAGTTCAATTTATTCCTAATTTTTTCCAATTCTAGAATTGGAAACAGATAACGAATAAGTCGAATAACTCGATTAAAAGTGGTTAAAAGTAAACCGTGAGTCGAACTGGGCCTAAACGATTTTCTGCCATTATTTACAAAGTCTATCTTGTTGAAAATAAATTTCTCTAAGCATTCTTTATGTAATTTTGACATATAGTTCAAAGTTTCATTCAGTAACAAAATTGCTACTATGTATATTGCTGTTTGATTTTATTTTTGTCTGGACTACAAAATTATATATTTAACCTTAAAACTATCAATTCAGTCGATTCAATAGGCTATGGTTTCTCTCTCGATCTATTTCTCAGTCTTTCTTTCTTGGATCTTATCATTCGACAAAAAATTTCTTGCCGAACGAACTCCCCTGAGATTGCTCGCAATTGCACCATGATGAAAGTTAGAGAATCGATACCATGCTGACAACGTTCCTGAGCATCGTTTGTCTTTGTTTAACATTGACAAACAACAAGGACGAAATTATTTTTAAGCGTTGTGAGCATGAATCGGACCGCGACCTATGTTTCATTTTACATTTTCACATTTTTTTCCACACCGATAAATCTAATAATTTTGTATTTTCACTTCGTCGTTACAGAATCACGCGGACAAATTCACGTGACGTGAAAGAGCGAAAAGTGATTTCACTCGAATTAAAGAATCAACTTCGAGGTGAAAATTACAAAAGTGAGTGAATTTATTAGAATATTGATAATTTCATTGGACAACACCTTTAATAAATTTGCTCACTTTTGTAATTTTCACTTTGAAGATACAGAATCAACCATCTGGCCATCTCTCCATCCTCTCTTGTAATTAGCGTTCCCACACAATGGCAATATCAATCGAGACGCACATGCATTCATATTATCAATTGAGAGCAAACCTTACAACATACATAAATGAAAGGGGCATTGCCTATACTTGCCCATGACTCGCTCTGATGCAAAAATCTGTGAGAGTGAGAAAGGTAGTAAGAGATAATTGTTCTCAATGCGCCGGCATCGATTCCGGCGTTCCTTGTTCAAGTACCGCATGTGAGGTCGGGAAGCAGGGATTCAACCATGGGGCGATGATAGACAGGAACAAAAAACAGACGCATGTGCTTTATGTGCAACATTTATCCATTATCATCTTTCTCTCTCGCACAGATTTTTGCATCAAGTTCAGCGCTCTATTCCCTTTCCATTTATAGGTGCGTTCGGCAATGTAAATCTGAGATGCGAGCTAGCAGAGGGCGAGCTTGATCACGTGATCTTCGAGCAATCCGGGTGCCAAGAATTAATTCCAAACAATACAGAGCTGTAAACTGTCCTTTAAGATTAAATTATAAAATAAAATTGTTTATGTTTATGAAATAAATAAAAATACCCTATTAATTGAAATATCTTTCGCTTTATTAAAAACCGATAATAATCTTATATACTAAAAATAGTTCGTTACACATGAATGTAGCAGACTCATACGCAATGTGTGTTTCCTTAAAAGAAAATACTACATTGCAAATAAATTTCAGCAATTTAAAATTTATAAGTTATATCGCTTGATTTATATTTGTTAGAGTTTTTAATATATTAATACAGTTTTATTTCATTCTATATGTGCAACATAATCTTTGATTTAAAAATTAACTAGTAAATTATTTGTTTTCAAGTATGTAATCTTAAATTCATAAAGAGGAGAAGAATTAAAAACTTATTTTCTTTGTTAAATATATATATTGTACATAATGTACTCCATCAATTTCTATTTGATATCATTTGTTTCAGCATTTGTAGATTTAAACATTGGCTGCATTCAGCATAAAGAGCAGCTTTGTAACTGTTGTAAAATTTTTGAATTATTGATTTACACATTTAGATCAAGTGAGGAATTAAGGACAAAACCAATCATATTAAAGAATTTTACAACAGTTGTAAAGCTGCTTTTTCTGGTGAACACAGCCATTATAACAATTCAAATACATTATTTGTAAAATAGAAGTATTAAAAGAGATGAATATACATATGTATGTGTTAACGAATCAATTAGATACATTATCATAAATGTACAGGTTATGAATATAATTTAGGCGCGAAAATCTGCATTAGCTCTGCGAGCTCGATCTTTGAATCCGGAGTGGATCGAGCAGCTCGATTGGCTCTAGAAATGTTAATATCGAACGCAGATGAGATGACATGTAGCAAAAAAATGCGAGTTGCCGAAAGTTTTCGAAGTAAAAGAGCAAACGGACGCCTTCGATTTATAATGGATGCGTTCAGCGGATTCAAGAGTTGAGTGAGCGCTCGCTGTAATTGATATATTCTTCCAGATCTAAAATGCTGATTGGATGATTTAAAAGAATATACAAATAACAGCCAGCGCTCACTCAACTGTTAAGTCCGCTGAACGCAGCCAATGCCAAACGCATCTTATGTATGTTCTAAAGGAACCTTTTCGTGGCGGCGATTAATTGCAATTATTGTAGCGATCGGAGAGTCACGTGACTGCATCAGTCGTTTGAAAATCGTTGCTATCAGTCACTTCTGTAGTTCGATTTGATTAAAGTTGTAGAGACAATAGGCGATAATTCGAATTTATTTTATCAAACCATGCAATTCCCGTTCAAACAAGGATTCTCCAAAATCTTTTTTTGTATGTTTTTCTATCTGCCGACATAATTGCAACAAATTCTGCATTAAACAGTAGTTTCTTCCTAACCTTTTTTTGCTTTTCCATTATTTCTAAACATTTCTTGTCATTCATAATATTCCTGTATATATTTACCAGTGCGACTTACTATACTTGGCAGTAAAGAACATTATGTTTTGGAGCAAAAAGAATTGTAAAGAAAGTCAACCGTAATGTCTGTAATCGCTTTTATCGCGCATTTCATTTTCATGATAGCAAAAAAAAAACAGCGATTGATGAGTTTCGTCGCTAGATTTTGAGCGATTTAGCGATGCATAAAAAAAGAATCTTAAGGAG